AAGGTCTCCATCTCAGTGACATCTACTCACTCCACAGCTGTTGAAACTCTGTATTTATACAGCTTGTCTTACTAAAAGCTCTGCTTGCATCCGACAACTCTAATTTTACAAACAATACTGAGTTTGTTTAGGGCCTGACATCACACCTGCTAATGTAGAACTGTGTGTTACCCTCTAAGTGTAGCACACAAGACAAATATTTGAAACTATAAATCTGCTGCGGAGAGAACCTTCTTCCAATTAACATTCACAAAACCTCACTAATCATGAACACGTGTACATTTTGTACACATATACAAAATGTATTTGTTTACTATGTTTATCAACAGAAAGTTATTAGTTCAAAGGCAGTATTTTACATTTCTCCACATCTACATCAGCAGTTTAGTTTATTTTTTAGCACATTTACAATACACATTACACATGTAAGAAACAGATCAAAACAGAAAAAAAGCAATTTGTACAGTATGAGAAAACAAATCATATAATCATTATTAAATAGCTATATATCTTTTTATACTTTAAACACAGGTCGGTAATATGCTCACAAGACTTTGCCTCATTCCAGTACCTTCATTTACAGAAACGTCACAGGAACACAAACGGGAAGCTCCTGCAGTTTTAATATTGAACAACAAGTTAAGACAAAATCAGGTGGGGCTCACACTTCACTCAATGGATTTTGAGGAAACAGCAATGACCAGAAAAAACTTAGAAATAAATAGAGGTTACACAGAACCTGGTGGTGAGTGACAGAGTAGAGGAATGCTTTCATGCCCGCTGTGAGCTGGGCAGGCGGAGGGTCCGAGAATGTCAACTATCTTCTTCTGGATTTTGGCAGGTGATTATTCTAAAACAGCACCTTTCACCGTTTCATGTGCCCAAATATTAACATGATCTCTAAAAGGTGGTTGGTGCTATAGGATCAATAAATCAAACTTCATCGCTTCCACAGCTTCTCTGTCCAGGACTTGGTAAAATAAACCAGAAGAACTTGCAATTTACAAACTGAATTGTCAGGTGGACTGGGCGTGCCACAAAAAAAACAACACACAGGGTGCCACACAGTTTAAACAATTGGAGATACAGATGTTTGAAAGTCAAATGAGTTACATGACCAAGTAAGGTGTTTAAAACGAGCACCAAGCAGGACCGGGCTCACGTGATTCTCCTTCAGTTGAAAAGTGGAGGAGACTTAGCATCAAACCATCAGAACACCTAGCTGTGACTGGAGACACTGCTGAAGACAAGACCGAATGAAACGATGAGTGGAAGAAGGGGAGGGAGGGAGATGGATGCTTAAAAGATGGGGATGTAGTTGTCGATCTTGGCACGGTGCCGCTGGGCGATGCACTCTGCGATCCAGACGATGTTCCTGCACTCCTGCTCCTTCAGCTTGACATAGGCGTAGAACACGCTGAAGTGGAACTGGTTGAGGAAGGCCAGCTTGTTGAGCTTCACCTGGGGGGCGGGGGGAATGAGAAGTGACCAAGCAGCATAAAGTCTACATCATTATTAACCATACTGATTTATAGGGCTACAAAGTTACAGCCAACGTGATAAAGCTGATCATTTTCCTCCATATTTAAATTCTTACTGCAATCACAATTAAAGGCCACATGGTGTGTGACACTTGTCACCTGTACACCTGCATGGATTGTTTACTTCGCATGTCTGCACACGGGTGCGTCAACTCATAAAAGAATTCCCATTTAATAATATTCACGCCCTGGATCGGTAGATGCCGGCTACCCAACTAGGTGTGTGGCCAAAGGTGTGCTGCAGGTGTCGAGAGACACCAAAATGCAATGCACGAGTCGAAATGCCCCAGGTTAACCTTAAAGATCAGTTTTGGGGCCGACCCAGGTGTTCACTCGGTTAAAAAAAAAAAAAAAAGATCCTGTCTTCACTGAACTCTACTGTCTTTCATCACCTCGGCCTGACAGAGCTGCTGCTCCTTGATGACGGCTGGTCAGGTTGTCACCAATTCATGTTAACTCTGAAACCAGGCCAAAATAAATTAGTCTGTTTCTGGGTTAAAACGTCTGCAGGCAATGTCTGTACTCAGCCAAAGATCATTTTGTGAGGGAAGAAGCTCCACTCTGTATCATATCATCACTGCACACCCAGAGGGAGTGAGGATGTCGTCACATCAGCTTCAGTAGTCGCACTCTCCGGTTTCATGACCGGTCAGAGGTTTTAGATCACCTCCATGTTTCCAGTTGTTATTAGTGTAACCCAACAGCTGAGCACACCTATGACATTATTTCTACAACTGAAATCAAACACAGCTGGGACAGAAGCACTGTTTCCACAGATGTGTTGCTTTGCTTTCACTCTGGACACTGCACTGCCGTTCCATCATTCTCTGCAGCCTGGAGGTGTTTGTGGCTCATTCTCATGCTACAGGATGAAGCCCTGAGAAGCTCTGACTTGACGGCCTTTTTTCAAATGATGCTTCAGAGGGTGCAGTAACTGTCTTCTCCAACGCTGCCTTTGTACAGACAGAATCTGTTGTAAGTCATCAACAACAGCTCAGTTTTCAAGGCTTTGTTTACTTCACTGCTGCAGGAAAGATGGAAGTTAACTGATACTAGGTCACTAGAAGATGCATGCTTTATATAAAATTTACACACAATTTTAGTTTTTGGTGACTTTAACAGGTATTAAGGGTAATGTTAAAAAAAACCTGATCAGGATGCCCCAACACATTGCTGACACTACTGATGCATGCTGCTCTTTGGGCTACTCAACTTTTGGGAATTATTTGTTTTACACTCCAATACCTTAACTTCAACACTATATAATTCACACCACTTTAAATAAACTCCCCTGCAACACTGCAAAAAGCAGTTAATCACAGGATAGATGCTTCAAACGCGCAGGTTTATTTGTGACTCGGGGCACGTCGATGCAGCCAACACCACACACTGAGTTCAGTTAACTTAAAACCGTGATTACCACAAGACAAACTGTTCAGCCTCAGGACTAAGGTATTAAGCTTCTCTGATTTGGTGCAAAATGTGTATCTGATGACGTGCGAGACCTCGTGCTCAAAGAAGCGATCCTCCAGTGTTTTGTCTCCTGGGTTGCTGCCAGCACCCTCAAACAGCAGCTTGTACTCCTGAGGATGACAAGAACCAACATGATCAGACAGACGCAGGCTGTGAAAGACTAAACTAAAAGTTTAGGAATCTGCAGGTCAAAGACACTGAGTGGCTTAGCATTTACTCTATATACAAAAAATAAAGGGAGAAAAGAAAATCTAAGGAACCGTACAAAAGCTGACAGGTTTCAGCGGCTCATTTCACATTTAAATGCTCCGGTGATTTCTGCAGGTTTTTGGACTTACAGGATAGAAATCAGCAACGGCCTTGACCTGCTCGTAGTCGTCTGCCCGGGCCAGCTGAGCAAGGCCTTCTGGGTAAAGCTTGCCACAGTGGGGGAAGAGCTTGGCGCGATCCTCCTTGGACAGCTCTGTGCCAAATGAGTTGATGGTGATGATGAAGGCTCTCCTGTCAGCCTCGAACTACAGCGGAGACGATGGCCAGAGGAGCAACAACAAGTCACTGAGCTAGTACTTCGATCCATCGTCAAAATACTCCGAGCTCATCTCCATTCAGCGATGGATCAACAGGCAACCAATACAGTGATGTCATGTACACTTCTGTCTCACCACCTTCAAAGGCTCTGCCAAGTCTAACATGTTTTT